GGATTATACATCTGTGAAGGCGAAAGCGTTATAATCAGATTTCACAAGCGAGCAATCATTAGTTACCAAAAACCAAACGGAACGAGAACTTGTTCCTGTAGGGTCCAATTTGTGTCGATGTTTTTGCGGTCGCTATATGGGCCATGTGTGCCATAACGATGGTCGGTGTGCAATCACTGAAACCTGCGTTCAAATCACAAAAAGTTTTCAGCTGTTATGCCTGATTCCACAGAATTTCACACGCCCAAACATTATCTGGGTTTCCCAAGCTGCCGCTAATAAATACAGGATTCCGTTATTTCTTATGTGTAATTGGGCCCGTTCGGAACGAAAAACCAGACCTGCGAAACCTGTTCAACCAATATCACTCCAGAATACTTATAACTGTCCTTGCAAGATAAGTTTTTGGTACAAAAAAAAAAAGTTCTAGCCTTGTAAATTTAGGAAGAACATGGGCGACAATTTCATCGCGGAATTGGCAGAATTTCGTTCGCACATTTGGAGTCGACACGATTGGTTCTAATTTACACTGCTAACTTAACCATCTGGCACCATTTCCCTGATAAAACGCAATCCTGGTTCGCCCATTTTTTTTAGTGAATGTATGACGAAGGACATCATATCAACGAAATATCTCCGCAAGTGGCGCGTGACAGGCGGTACTCTATGTGAGTCGGGGCGGGCGATGCGCGCGCGTTTTGATGGATCAGGACCGGGGGTTTAGAAGTAGTTTAGATCACGGCTAGAATTGGCGAAGTCAACTCTTGCAAAGGGAACTTTCTTTTTTCAGTGAGCGATTACCCGTGATTACACTACCAAAAACCTGGACTTTCAAACGCTCCATGCCGGGACAAGTTCTCAAAATCCAAGGAGGAAAAACGCAAAGCACTTTGCTTGCTCCTGACTGATGGAAAAATCATACATTTGGATTGTGATGCCCATGGAGCTCAAAAACAGACAATTAAAACACACCATACAACATAATCCTGCTCTAGTAGACAAAAACTAAAAACAAAAGAAGGTAACCAAAAAAGTGTTACGGGAAATGATTTAAAAATTCTATTTTCGAAAAACAACTGCTTGAAGAAAATCATTAAAAGTGCTACTTTTTGAGTGCAAGTCTCCAATTGCCTCGGAGGGATTAATGCGTCTGCATATTGTTATAAAAACGGCCGCTCGATCCCTTTTTGGGCAATCGATCTAAATAGATGGGATAAGACTGCTTTGAAAATGACGGCATGATTTCGTTGCTACGGCATATTTCATGCGAAATAGAGATAGAATCCAGCCAGCAGTGGGGCTCGTCGACTTCATGACCAATTCAAATGAGCGTGCAATGAAGTGGGCTAAAATGAGGCAGAAGTGCAAAAAAGTACCATAAATCCTGCAGGCTGTTCCGCCATTACGAAAGCTTCATCCTATGGGAGGTCCTGCAGAGAACTGCAAGGCCGCCTGGAGAAAAAAAGAGTCAAAAAGGGACCAAAGGAGTGCCAAAGATGGCGCTATCTTAATAAACGGCGGCATCCTTTGGGACTAAGCATAGTTGAGAGGAAATCCGGGTAAAATGAAAATGTTGCACTCTGGGGTTTATTCTTCCCCCATCACCTGAAGGCTTAGTCCCGTTTTCTGAAAAAGAACAGGTTTTACACGGTTTTTAAAAGCACTGCTACCGCAATGCCCCTGTATCTTGCGATAGTGCCCCAAGGATTATCAGGCACTGAAGTTCTACAACGTTATTAACAGTTCTACTACCACGATATTTGTGTGCGCATCAGTAATGCTCCCAAAAATAGGTAACAATTTCAAGGTTCAATTACAAAATAGAAACTGTGTGAGGAGATATCACGACGGCAGAATTCTCGAAGCTTCGGCCTGAAGGTAATTGCAAAAGCAAATCGATTGTTCTGGATAACAAATGTGCACGGCAGGATGTGCTTTGTGAGAATACCATAAAAGGTTCATGGAATGAAAAGCTTTGAGAGAATGAGGTTTACCGGAGGAAAACAAAAGGAAGTCCAAATACGAACACAACTGGAAGCACCGCTTCCTTTGTGCGAGTTTTCTCAACGCGTCAACAATTCACGAACGAAAGAAAGACCGTAAACACACAAGCTAGGGGCTGGACAACGGGGCGCGATCGCACAACGACCACGACGAGGCTGGCGGGTGCCCGGCCGCCGGCACTTTGGCAGGGCGGCGCAAGTCCGGCGCACCGCGCCTGCGCCAACGCGGTGCACCGCCACGGCGCCATGACAACGGCAATTGACCCCGTCCGCGTGCGACCAGCTGCTGCAAATTCGTAAAGTGGTCTCATTTTTCCATAGCAAGCGTAAAAACGTGACCTCTTTTGATTCTGGACGTCAAAATAACCCATATACGGGTTCTACGGCCTCATATTTTCATGTCGCTAAGAGAGTTTTTCAAGACCTCGCTGAACTTTTGTGGAGTTGTCGATGAGTTTTCTCTTTTCCTCAGAGTATTTTTAAACTTATGCTTGCATTCATTTTTTGCTACTCATCGTAAGTTTATTTACGAAGTATATACTTATTCGATAAAAGTGCAAATTGGCACTATTCAACTATTACGACCCCAAAAACTCAAAATTTTATTTTTCGTCGAAACTTCGCCTATAGGGGTAATTCGGTGCCCTGATCACGAAAATGAGGTTCATTTTTGGCGCTGGCGCCATTTGGCGCCAATTGGCGCCAATTTGGCGCCAAGGGTGTTTTCACCAAATTCGCTGTAAACTTGCACATAGGGGTTATTTGGGGTCCTGATCACGAATATAACATTCATTTTTCCCTCCAGCGCCTGTGCGCGCCTGTTTTCCGCTCGTCTGCGCCCTCTCACTGATCACCTCGCGATCGGGACTAAGCCTTTGAGGAGGAGAGTGCTCCGAAGTGAATAACACTTATCCTGTGATCTTATACGCTTTAACGTTTGCCACATGTTGACTGGTTCACCCACCCCGGAGTCCTCCCTCCTTCTAGGCTCAGTCCTAGGTATTATGTACAAGTGAGAGGACCCAGGAGAATGGAAAATGTGCGTTGAACGGTGGAAATGCTAAAAACGAATGACATATCCGTAATCAGGACCCTAAATAACCCCTATGTGCAAGTTTACAGCGAATTTGGTGAAAACACCCTTGGCGCCAAATTGCGCCAATTGGCGCCAAATGGCGCCAAATGCGCCAGCGCCAAAAATGAACCTCATTTTCGTGATCAGGGCACCGAATTACCCCTATAGGCGAAGTTTCGACGAAAAATAAAATTTTGAGTTTTTGGGGTCGTAATAGTTGAATAGTGCCCAACGGATTACAGAATCTGTTAGACATTATTTACGGCTTAAAACTACCCTGCGCTCAATGTCTGGCCCTTCTGTTTTCCATTAGAGTCTGTTCGGACGCTTATAATCGCCGTGCATCCTTTGCTTCATGTTAAAGGATTTAGAGGCTTAGTGCGTAACAGAAATTGAATTATGCTAAGTTTTAAACACAACTGAAGCCGAAACCCGCATCACAGATCACTTCTAAATTCACAGTAGTCAGTCTTGCCGAAATGGTAAACTATCGACTTCATCCCTACGATATATAATAACAATAATACCTTTATCAAACGGAGTTAAGATATCAATCACGATACTCGAAAACAACAACTTATGCGAGAGACTACCAAAATAAGCATCTTGTGTTTCGGGAGGCCACGTCCGCCATGTCTCATTTTTGGTTATATGACATCTGAATCTTCGATGGAAAAGTACGATTGAGCAAAATATACGCATTGACAGGCGATTAGAGCGTCCAGCTATGCGCCTGAAAACCTCTGCGATTCTGAATGTGAGCTGGAAATTGTTGGCTCATCCCAAGAAGATCAGCGCATTTGATTCTTATTTGAGTGCATTATCCAATATTATTCAAGGCATAATGAGAGGAGGTATCCTCCCTTTCAGGAAACGGGAACTTCGGGTACAGACCTTAACACCACAAGTGACGACGACCTCAAAGTAAATCTGGTTAGTAGTGGTTCATAGTGATAGCTGATTTTTGGTAAATGATAGTTGTAATTAGTGACTGATAAATACAACTGCAACAGGCTAATCATTTCATTGGCAGAAAACATTCACATTTTGTGAAGGCCGTCGTCACTTGTGGTGTATGGTCTGCTCCCGATGCTCTTCTCGTTTTTTGAAAGGGAGTATGAGCATTCACCATCCTTTTGCAAGCGCCACCCCGTCATTCCATTGAGAGAACGTCTGCATTTGAGTACATTGCCTAAGCAGTGAACAGGGGGGGGGGGGGGGGGGGGGGCGATATGGCTTGTAGCAAGAAGTCAGTGCTTCCACGCTTTAGACGATTCTGCCACAATTAGGCTAGCTCGGACCTATCCCCTAGTACTGGTCATTATCTAACCCTCAGATCGTGGGTCTTCTTGAAGAGTAGTTGCTTTTATACCTCCTCCTTACCGCAGAGTTGAACGTAGTATGTAAGTTTAAGATATTTGACACTGTAACAATAACTTGTATTAGTTTGAGAGCCTTTTCTAATCTTCGCATTTTGTTTTTTTTAACTTCATTTTCTGATTTTCTGGTGTTTTCCAAGTAAGCGGAGCATTTCGAGTTTCAGAGTACGAGATTGTTTGACAATGCCTTGAAACGTATTGATTATGGCATCATTCAGGAGAACTTAATAATCCCCCCAATTAATGGTTTGCACAAGAACGAATAGTCCATCAATTTCGGAGCTTTTTCCTGCTAAAATTGGTACAACTTGAGTCTGAACTGTTGCACAGGGAATGCCTCATTGAGTAAATAGGCCAAGTCTGCTACTCCTCACCTTTATGGATTAACCTTCATGCTAGTTTAATTATTAGATTTTCTGGCTAAATTTGTACGGCGTTGACTTCACCCATTCTCTTCTCACTGTTGCTTTTGTTGTCGTTCGTCTTGTTTAGTGTTCCATTTAAAGCTGAATTTTGGAAGTCCACTTTTAGAAGAGATCCAGCATGGATCCGGAACTTTTACGGCAACGTGCTGCTTTTCAAAAACATGCCGCCAGAAGTCGCTCAGTACATCCCAGAGCGCTCTCCAGATACGTTGTACGTCGTCTGATGTGTTCAAGACTGTTTTCTCATTTCCAACGAGTAATTCTGCTGTGTGACCATTCCATTCATCAATTTCAATCTTTAGCCGTCTCCTTCAGCCAGTCACACGACTTACAATGCGGAAGCAGCGAAGAAAAAGAAGAAACCAGTAGTGCAGCAAAATTCAAAACGTGAGTTTATTTCAGTTGAACTCTTTTATTTCTATGAGGTTTAAAAAACTGACAAAGCAGGGTCTGGCTTTTCAGCTCCGGAATTCGACTTCAAGACTACGGTTTCCCATAGCAATGCCGCTAATTTCGGTACTATGGCAAAGATCGTGGACTACATGAAGGTACTTTCTTCGGAGTGATCATTTTGTACTCCTACTGACTAGTATAGGGCGCCATTCGTTGCGGGACCCACTGCCTTAACCCGCGGGGATCCCATGTGATCGCGGTTGAATTCGAACATTCCAGCTTCTCACGCATGTCAAGTGTCTGCCCTCACCCCCCACCCCCCTAGACTGGCGACACTGCCCCTGGCTCACGGATTCCCCGCTCCACATTGAAGGGTTCACTGTAGCAGGAGGCAGTGGGACCCGTAACGAATGGCGTCCTTTACTAGTCAGAAGGAGTACAAAACGATGCGTTCACCTTCAGTCTTTAAGTATCGCACAAAACAAAGCCAGGTTTGACTTCTGTGACTTCACGTTTAGTCCGTTTGTTCTCAAATTTCACAACCTCCCGAATCTCATCCTGCTTGAAATCTTCAAAATATGCTTTCGCTCGAATTCACATACTTTCTGAGAATTGTCGAAATTCTCAACCGGAGTTGACGATGCGTTTACAATTAACGCAGTATGTTTTCGTGGTGATCGACAGAGAGAAGAATCAGCTGTATATTCTGTTTTAAGAAACGACATCTGAGTCAGCAACAGTGGCCATTGTCTTTACAAGAAATTTTGGACGAATTGCAAGTGTACGATCTGCCGAAAAGGTCGGAAGCCTGGCTGAGAGAGGTATGAAATTGAAGTCCTTCCATATTTTGACTTTTTGATTGGACCATTTATTGATATTTTGCCCCTCATTCTTTTCAAGTAACTTGTTTTACCTTTAGTGTGTATTTCATTACTGAATTATTATCCCACCTGTGTTCTTTACTTACTTGGCTCTAATTCCTGTCATCACTTCTTGTTCTCTCATTTGTCACTGGTAGTCCAGCAGCCTCTCATTCTGACATTTTCACATCAAGTCATTGTAATCATACCTCTTGCAATTCTGCGCGATATCTGTCTAATTTGCGAATTTGTGTCTACATCTGAAATATCATTTGAGATTTCTAGCGGAGAACTTACCAAAAATTTGCTTAGACTGCGTTCATACTTTGCGCTAGCAGAAAGACTCAAGCTACCCATCGGCCATCGTCAACTGTAAGTGTTTAGGAGCTCAACCCCACTAACGATGCCTGGATTATGGCCTTTATTTGCTCTTCGCCAGCGGGGTAAGCACTTGCCTGCAAAATTCAACTGCTGACGTGGTTTTTTTCTGGTTTATTCATTTTATTCCAATTTTACCTCCTGTCTCCGGCACGATTCGCTTACTATAGGTTTCGATTCCAGTAATAAGTGCAGAGCTATTTTAGGCACTCCCGAAGAATCCAAGATTAACGTGTGACGAGGAGCTGAAATTCTGTTACAAAGCCTCCGTACAAAATTAAAGGCAAGACGTCCTTGGTTAGTTTTAGTGATTTTTACTTTTACGCGTCGAAGCGAGTCTTTCTTTGGTCATTGACGAAAACAATTTTTAATGTGTTGATAAAACTCATTAATGCCGTTATTCTCACATCTTAAAAATTAACTAGAATTTCACTTTGAACTGAGTCTCCTATTTGAACCACAGTTTGTCACTTACTTAACAACATTTTTTAAGTTGGCAAACGAAATTTCAGGTTTGGATCGGGCTTTTCTTTTACTAGCGCATACCTTCTTTCAAAGTTCAGTAGTTCTAGCATTTTCCTTGGTTTCAAAAGTGAAGTGTCCAAGTTATTCATATGTAAACTCCGATTTGTACTCAGCACTCATTTTCAGGTAGCAGTAGCCAAAAAGCACCATCAAGACGTACGTGGTGGTATTTTGTTGTCGGAGCTGAATGACTGCATTCCGAATGGCGAAAAGGTTTTGGAGGTGAGAATACGTTCATGACCTTCACTTTAATGTCACGGTATAATATTAGCCGCGGCATCCTGTCATTTCATGGTGAAACATCAATCTAAAGGTCATCGAAAGCGGTTGGATGACAGGAGAGTGCGGCGCTGTATACTTTCAGCAAAGCGTGCGTGAATTAGCAGCGCTGAGATTTGAATTGATTAGCACGTTGTCTACTTATTATTGGAAGAAAAGTTCAGAGTCACTTAAGTGTGAAGTGAGACGAACTTTACCTTATTGCTGTTATCAAGATTTTTTATATAAAGAATTTCTCCAAGAATTACTGATCATTTTCTGTGGTCTCTTTCTTTGGTGACACTTTTTTCTACGCATCAGTTAATTTTTCCCAATTATCCTGGAATGAAGGGCGCTAGAATCAGCAGTTGCGCCTGAACGCTTCTTCTCGATCATCGGACTCGAATCACGCTCTAGTTGCTTTGAAGGGCTCAAGAAGTATCAATCACATTACAACATGTCCTGGCTGTAAAATTACCGATCAAGCGTTTTCGCGATTTTATGGATGACAAACTTTACTACTATGTCTTTTACGAAAATAAAACCCTCCTATTCCTGTTCCACTGATGTGAGGGTTGCTAAGAAAAGCATTGGGTAGTCTGCTCGTTTTCTTGCTGTGATTCTATGGATACCGACTCAACGACCTTGACCGTCATCCAGTCGTGAATGAGTACTTTTTCCTTAGCACTGCGAACGACCTGCCTATATTTTCATTTGGTACTCTGTATTTGGAAGAATACGCCAGACGGGGAGTTTTACCATGTACCAGGAAGAGCTCACAGAACTAACCAACTAGTCGCTAATAATGGTTCTCAGTTGTCCTGTTGAAATCTGATTTAGGTTAGTTTGCCCTTCCCTATGGGTGATTTATGTTGCGCCATTATTTCCAGATCTCCATAGGCAGACCTAACCTTTTTTCCACAATTGACTTACTCGTACTAACCTGTCTCTGAGCTTGGCCATGCTTTTTTATGCTCGCCGCTCCGTACTGCACTCATTTATTCTATATATTGCAGCTATACATCATAAGCATGGCATCTATATCGTCCATATGTATGTCATCTTTAAATGGATAAATAAGTATATTGAATGCTTATATATGGCAAAAGTGGAAAAGTGCTAGAAATTTCAGCAGTAGCCAAAAGTGTTTTTGAAGGGGTTCAAAAAACAGAGGGATATTGATAGAAACCCAATCGGCGTAGGCCTAAGTATCGTGCCACAAGGGCAAGCATTTTAACTAATACAAAGAAAAAAGGAAGTATAAGTCCACATTTCAGTCTGGAGATGTTTAATCGAGCTAACATTATTCCGGGTTTGCTCCACCTGGCGCGCCTCGTCAATATTGTCTCGTTTTTGGGACGTTTTTGAATATGAAGTGTTGCTCTAAAGCAGAAATAATGAATAGCTGAATATGTGCAATAGCAACGCCGGGCATAAGCTAGGAGCGATACTAAATCGATAAGTTGATCGAACATTTAAATCTCGTTATTTGATGCTTATACGGGCTGAATGATCTTAAATAAGGGTTCGTAATTGACCTGCCACCAAAGAAACGTTAAATAACCCTTGTCGGCCCTCATTTAATGCAATCAATAATATCTTGTTCTAACAGCAGGAAAAGTGAGCTGCAAGCAAGGCGTTCGACAAGCAATTTTTTTGAGTAGCTAGAGAGCCTCCTAGTTTCCATTCAGTTATTTTTAGCGCGATATCCTCCGAAAATTTCAGGCGCTCAGCGACCAGATCATTGTTGTGCCGACGCAAGTGAATAAGCGAAAAGACAAGGTGTTCTTCTACAATGATCAAGAGCTCGATATATTCATAGAAGATGGTAGGTTTTGTACTTCTTTTTGCATCGCATGTTTTACAGACTAATTACGTTGTTGTTGATCATTAATGAGCCTTATAGTAATCGCTATTTCCAATAGGCGTGTGCGTGAAAAGCCCCTCTGTCGTTTGATGAATCGAACCTTTTATTTATGCTAGCCAAAACTTTTGACGTCATTGGATTGGTTATATGAGACCAAAATAGAAAACACTGGTTCAAAAGTGGAGATGAATGAGCCTCGGCCAACGAAAATTGTATACATCTATAAATAGGATCCTCTATTGGGCAGTTCTGCAAAAAAAGACTTTTTGCGAAGCCAGGACTTGCTCGACAGCTAGTTCTCTCTTCAATCAACTTTGGAATGGCTACAAAAGGTTAATTTTGGTCAAAATCTTGATTCTTAGAAAATTTTTCAAACCTTTTTCAATCCCACTATCGCAGCGGTCTTTTCCTCGTCTTGCCTCGACAAAGGTGACTACTCGTGTGGAAGAACAACTTTTTGATAACATTACTCCATGGACAGGAAGTGACCCGAATGATGATGTTGCCCACACCGTTCCGCTATTTCCTAGAGACCTCATTCCTTCTCTCCATTTATGGGAAGATATGCGTGAAGGAAGTGCTTTTTCAAAGCTACATGGCTTTTTGGGATAAAAGCAGCCACTGACTCGAATGTTCATGAGGAATTTGGTGAGTTCATGGGAATGATAAAAAGATGATTCACATGAATACAGTGAGTCGTGGTGAATAAGTGGGTCGCACTGTCAAATCGTTTTGTATGCACTTTTTTCTCCACAGCTTCTAACGATTTGGAAGACTTAAGTTGGGACGGAAGGAAAGCCCTCACATTTTTCACCAAACCCGACGTCATGAAGTTAAGCGTTAAGAAGGGTGGGGAAAAGGAAGCATTTAGGGTTGGTACTCGCGGGGAGAAACGCGGAACGGCGCCCAAATTAAAAAAAAGATCATTAAGGGCGCGTCATTATTGCAAGCGTGGAGAGCATACTGGTCATGATAGGTAGTCATTATTGGTGATTGCCACATTGCTTATAACGACCGCGCTCATATAAAGTCAATACTCAATAGAACGCCGCGTCGGACTGTGTGGGATTGACCATAGAGGCAGGGAAATGGTCGCCTGAGAATGAAGCCACGGCTTGGATCAAATAGTTAGGTGAAAATTGGTAATGAGCCACGGTTTGGATCACAGGTTTGGAGAGAAGTGTGGAAGTTGTGGGCGCTAACAATCCGCCTAGCATCTCTATCAAACCTGTGTTCCAAATCGTCGCTCATTCTCAGGTCACCAACTTCTTGGCCTCGGTGGTGAAATCCCCACTCAGTCTGGCGGATTTCTATGAGATGGATGTTACTCGGGGGCTAAAAGTTTCGATTCGGGAGAGCAACATAGCAGCTTCCTTATTCTTCTTCTGTAGCTTATGTGGCTCTGCTTACATAAAGTAGTACCCAAGAGCACGATTCGTTCATCGCTGACTGCGGTCTGGTTTGGCTTTCTCACCTTCAGCCGTCGCCGTAGCGATGTACGTGCAGCTGAAGAAACTGAGGGGAAGTGGCAGCGGACCAAGGAAAGCGGCCACGTGGGTTATAAGTAATCGAGAGAAAAAGTTAGCTGAGGTTCTGACAAGATTGGGAAGACGTGAAGGATAACGGCCAAGAAAGTCATCATTCAATCGCCCATCTCACGCGTTTTCAGACAATAAAATTATTGACTTCGTATATCATTGAGTCATTCAGTTTGTAAAACCAAAAAGTTTTCCAGAATTAGTTAAATTTAATACCAAATTGGACATTCTAGATGCGAATAGTTTTGCTGTAGCCTGACCAGGATTTCAGCACTTGCGCTTAGGCTTACGTTTCGGCCTCTTCGCCTTCGTCAAGATCACAAGTTACCCAAGAAGCAGACTTTGGCGTGGAACGCCACGCTAAAGTCTGCTTCTTGGGTGGTCGATCTTGCGCCTTGGCGACAAAGATCTAGGCTCTGACGAAGGCGAAGAGGCCGAAACGTAAGCCTAATAAAAAGTGCTGAAATCTTGGTCAGGCTACAGCAAAACTATTCGCATCAACTTCCATGCCAAGATTAAGAGAAAGTCGTTCTTGGACTATTCTAGATCTTTCGGTTTTGTTTCCGTGTTTCTGGTAAGGGGGGTAGGGTTGATGAGCACCGGAACGGCACGGCTCATTCACAATGCCTCGAGTTTTACGATTCGACTTCAAAATTTCATCTTCTACAGAGCCTACGTAAAATGTAGCGATCACTTAAATTCGTGCCCA